GCATTTCTTTTTTATTTTCGCAGGCAACTATTCCCTTCGAGTCCGTTCGAGTCCACTGATGCATTATACAATGTTTGAAGCCACCAAAAAGGTTTGTCTTTGAGTTTTCTTTACGTTTATCACTCCATTGTTGCCATTGTTTTCTGTGGATATCTSCATGCCGGGCATAGTGGTTTGGCTCAACTATGTTAAGTCCGATTAAGACAACACAATTTTTACCTATAACCACTGCGCAACCTKCTCAAGTAATCCTTGCAACATGCCTACTGTCGTAGGGCTATTAAGCAATTATTTTAAACCCCTTCAACATTTGTCTCTGTGTTGTAAGGATTTTTTTAATTCGAAGATGTATTTGTCTGCATGTTTCCATTCTGTGTTAGAAACAGGCGGTCCAGCTTGGTTTTCAAAACCTTTCTTGTCTCATCCCAACCACCCCGAACGAAAATATCTCTTGTTGATGTTAAATAACACCGAACAACTCTCGATCAATCACTTGAAAGCAGTATCTTTTTTTTACGTTTTTGGCATGCTTTATTTAGCCAATGCGTGCACTATAAATCGCAGATGTGTATAGCGGATACAAGAAATTTGTGTTTCTTTATCGAATTAAAAACATCTTAAATTTTCCGGCTAAACTTATGGGGAAGTTGAAATTAAGTTTTGTAGAATTTTTTTCGATGTTTTTTGTTGTTTCAGGTTATGAGTCCAGCAGGGGATTCTATTTACAATGAGTGGAAAAAACGAAATCCTGATGACAAAGCTAATAAAACACTACCCAAGTAAGGATGCAATACAGCTGTACCTTTCGRTCTCCCATTGAATTAAATAAACCCTCCATAAGGCGGCCACATTTTAGCATCTGTTAAACCTTATTCCTTCAACCACCAATCTGAATTAAAACAAACATTTTGGAAAGTCCTGGGAATGATTGATTTTGCTGATTTTGCAGTCAGTCGAGCAAGAGTTATAATATTTCAAACTCTTTTCTAAAAGCCATTGATCTGAAAGTAATCTTGTCTGATTTTGCAGAGCAGCAGTKCTTGCTAATTCTGGCAGCGATTTTGCTCCCATATATCACGGAGAAGGTATTCCGTCGATCGACTTCAGATACAATTATGATACGGTAAGAAATTTAACTGACGCGGTTCCTAGTAGTACCATACTAGGAAATATGTACAGAGACGCCATTTTGTACAATAAAGCATGATGGGAGTTGTATTCTCCACTCTTTTCTTAGGCACGAACAAATCTCCCTAAATTTCTTTGTGACCACCAACTTCTATTTCTTTAGAGAAAAAGCAAAAAATGGCTTACAGTTCTAGGCCGGGTTATTGAAAGCTCGATTAGCGGTAATTCTGGGTTAACTCTTAGAAAAACTATGGAGTTAACCGTGGATTAACGCTAATCGGGCTTTGAGCAACCCGGCCCTAGCGAATATGAAAAGTGCGAGTATTACAACTGCCTTGTCATACTTTGTTTTACAAAATGGCGTCGCTGCGCATTGCTTATTATTGTTCCATTGCGCAGCAACCTATGATAAAATACGTACAGATTTACAAAGGTTGAAGTGGACTTACTCAGTAAAWACAATAGAACTTTTCGCTTTAATTTAGCTTTTGCACTCAGGTAGAATCTTCAAGGTGGCAACTTTGCAATGTCAAAAGTCAGCAAAAACAATGAAAAACTATATGCGCGCATGCTAAGAATATACCCCTATCAGAATGGTCAATTAGTTTTCACCATGCAATATTTAAGATTTGCCCACAATTCCCTCYTCAACAGAAAAAGATGAAAGTTAGTTCGTATCCAGTCTACCACTCGGTTCACGATACATTCCATTGGATGGCGAACTTTGTTGATCGTGGATTTAAATATCACAAGGCAATAACGCAGCTATGGGTCCGCCTCGGTCTTACGTTATCTGATAGTGTTCTCATACCCTTCAACATTTCAAGATATGCAGATRTAGTTCGTGCTGATGTAGCAGCTCTGAAGRCATCTGAGAAACAGGCTTTCAACGACAATGGCATCGATTTTGGTAGATTATCTTTTCTTCTTTCATTCATTCTTCATTTTATTGTCTATGAATTCATTATTCATTATCTATATCATTGATTAGATATATAAAGCACTTACCCGCTTATAAGAACCCATTTTTTTTTCAAATTTAGCCTAAACGGGATCTTATGTAAATGTTGCTTATATTGGAATTTTAGGCTAACATGTTCTTAAATAGGTTCTTATTTAATGAGTTTTATTGTGATTTTTTTTCCATGTTCTTTATCAATAAATGAGGCAATATGGGAAGATAAATAGATGATACAAGGTTTTCTAACATTTTTTATATCAAATTTTAGAAGTGTAATACATGTTCAAGTACACTACTTTTGAGTCATACTTTTGAATGAAGATTTTTTTAGGCTAATTTCTAGTATAAGAAGCTTTATAAAAGAGCCTGTTTTAGATTTTAGACTAAATAGGTTCTTATGTATAAATGGGGTTTAGAGTGGTTTTCATAAACCCGTGAAAAAAAGTGTAAATAATTAGAGTGTAATAGATCGTAATGGTCGCGTAGAGACAATAAAACAAAAGAGTCAAAGTATAATACCGATAAATACGCTAAATTAAGTGTGTTTCACGTGTTAATGAAAACCACTCTAAATTGATATTTTTAGGCTAACAGGTTCTTATATTGTAGGTTCTTATAAGCGGGTAAGTACTGTAGTTGATTTAAAAACTGGATTGATTTATTTATTGTTTTTTTTTACTAGAATACCTTGACAAAGCAGTGAAAAACCTKTCCTCAGCAGCCAGCGAGTTCCACAGGACCTTGTCAAAGATAGACGTCAACGAGTAAGTATACATACATCAGTACATTCGGAGAACAGTGCGTCCGCCAACTTGAAAAGTGGGACTCAAATCACTAAATTATAACAGCTCCTCAAAGGAATTAAAAGCTTCTCAGCTAATGTCAAGTTGATATGATACGATRTAATGATAGATTAGTTGACTTAGTAACTTGTTCTAATAAGCCTGGTTTTCACTACGACTTAAACGTAAGACCAATGCTAAGMGCAAGTGCGCAACGCTTATAAACACCGTGAAAAACCGACACAACACAAGTTCAACGCAAACAGAAACAGAAGGATTAAAATGTTTCCTTCAATTGCGATTAAGTTTGGGGCTGCGTTTTGCTCTCACTTCGGTGCTACCTCAGTGAAAACGATACCCAGCCAAGTAGTCTTGACCAATGAAAAAATTAGTGCCAGTCTTGCAGGCGCATTGCAGGAGGCTTTGTTTTCACACGACATTTGTTTTTATGTTTTGCTTTAGGCTTGCGCTTAACATTGGGCTTATTTTTAATTCGTAACGAAAACCAGGCTTAAGGCACAACATAATGATCCGGGTTTCACTTTTCAATATGGCAGACGCATTGTTCTCCGAAAGTACTGTTATATGTATATATAGGACCAAAGACACCGTTGAGCAGCATTTCTGCTCGACATGCTTTTCAACAATATTTCGAGAAGAGCTGAGTAATTTTGTTGTCACATTTTACCGTGTCTTATATACTTTAGACGAGTCAAATGAACCCAATAGAAACAATGCAGCACCAAGGGTTTTGTAGGATTGATCTAATCATCTCATGCCATATCTCTAATTGAACATATCTTTCATTTCAGCACCTTGGTTGTACGTATGGCCAATGACAAGCTGCTACAATTTGAGAGATCGTTCATCAACCCTCAAGGGCTGACGGGAAGACCTCATAAACGGTAAGTCTTTTGTAGGTTTGATTCTCAACAAGATAAATTGCTTTTTATAGAATCTATAAGCTGGCATATTCACAAGAAAAACATCACAAAAAAAAAACTTTTAGAGCGTTGTCGACCAACTAAGAACATTTTTGTATTAGTACACTCTCTTCAGCACTAAACGGTTTATGAAAAAGCTGTATTATTACCCGATCATGCATGCATTTTTCATAATATATGTAGTTGCAAATTAAATTCTTACGTAAGTTGAAATGCAAGGAATGTGATTTATTCGAATATTTTGTAGTCCCAATCAGAAGCTTAGATTGAATGTTATAATCGTTGATATGACTTAGTCTTTCCTTTTTTCTAAGTCATATCCATATTTGTAATTTCAGTCACATGATCTACGCGCCTTCCATGTATGATTCGTACGCTGGCAGTAGTTTTCCAGGAATCGTGGACGCAATCTACGAGGCTAAAAAGAGCGGAGATTGGAACCAAGTCAAGAAGCAGATTTCACTGGTAGTTTACTACATTAGATCTGCCACTAAACTTCTTCGTACGAATTCTATTTAACTTAATGTTATTCAGCATTCGCTATTTAATGGACTACGCCGTCGATACAAMGGCCAATTGGCAGATATGAAAAGCATTTTTGATTATTAGTCAGTATATTTGTATTTATTTAATAGTCTTCTTGTTTAATAGTCCCTTGATAGATTAGTTTATAATCAATTGAACATCCAACGTCCATCTATGTAAAAARTCTTCATATTTGCCGCCGTATCGTCGAAGTAGTCATTTTATGGAGTTTTTGATTCAAACCACATCCATAACATTCATTAATTTTAAAAATTTCTTATTTTTATAACTAGTAATTTCACTTAGAGTGTTTTATTTTTAGTAGAAAGAACTGTGCTTGCACATTTTAGGAATGCGTATTTAAATTTCTGTTATTAGAAGAGATAACGTTCATCACGTGACTTACATATGGCGTCTCTGATTGGCCGAAAAACAAATATACATTCCTTAGATGTTTTAGGCCAATTTATTTGTTCTATTTTTGTTATCATTTCATAACAGTCAAAACTGTTTTTTAGATTGTTGTTCATTTTTAATCTAATTCATTATTTTATTTACTTATTTTACTTGTTTTTAGGCACTTAATTTATATAATTTGTAGTCGAATCTTAGTAATTTATTCAATTTCTAGAAATTTTAAATATTTCAAGCTTTCATAGGAATTCTACTAGTGTAGCAATCAAATCAATTTGCATTTGCTATAATTTTTTAGTTTGTTTTTCAAATGTTCTGTACTGTGCTCCAGAACTCTTGCGGCTTTTTCTCCCTTCTTGTGTTATAATCAGTATTCACAGTACAACATGGAATACTCATCTTTATCATATAATTATGTATTATATATTATAAAGTACCTAAATTTCTCCATTTAAGTAAAGTTGTTATTTTTACCTGTGAAAATATCACCTTCGAGGTTTCTCTATATAGTGGAAGTAAGAAACAAGGTATTTTACGCGATATAATTTGCTTTTATATGTAATTATATGATAAAAAAAATATTACATGGTCGCTTGGAGATRCGAATTTTATCTTCTCGTGTTGAAAATCTCCCACTCGTTCCCTACGCTCACTCGTAAGAGATCTTTTCAACACTCGAAGATAAAATCCATATCTCCGCGCGCCCATGTAATATCCTCTATTCAACAAAAACGTCATTTGTTCCTGCTGACGCAAATTCCCGCCAACTGATTCTGAATGACGCCCAATATGAAAGAGCGATGGATTCATTCGATGATGATATTTGCACGGTCAATTAATTGCGGGTAATTGTATCAAACTACACAACACATTAACAAAAAAACAGATCTGTCCTTTGTGCTTTGTGACTTAGCTCAAATACGCAATTCGTTCTATTGAAAAAAGCACGTGTCAGTTTGGGCGACTTTAGAATTATATTAATCTCATAAACGAATGCATAACAGACTATGTAACTGTGTTATGATAATTGTAACCTTTCCGTCATCATACACTGTAGCCTGCCCTAATTAACATAATGACTGCTTACATTTTCCGTGGAACTCTAGTGTTAAGGGTGATTACCGCACAACTTTCATAGAAAAGATCTCCAAGCCAGCTGAACCTAAATCAACGGAGTTTCTACTGCTCAAAAATCTTTCAATGCAGCATAGGAAAGGATGGCGATAGTACCTTCTAAGTTTTTGAATACTAGGCTTCAAATTGTCCGTCTAGGAGTCGATGCTAAGCTCATTCTTAGAARTGTTAAAATTCTCAAAGAGTCTTGATCCCGATTATATACAAAAACCTTCACCTATCCATCATGGTGTTTCAGAAAACTCTCCGGCAGCATTSGCCACCCTGTAACAGATTGTAAAAAAACTCTTCGTGATTCAGCTAAGAACCAATTATGGTACAGTGCTGTCTCGTAGTCCACTCCTACCACTTTTTCGAGAGAGTTCCCTAATTTAAAATTTATATTGACGCTAGGACAACTTTAATAAAATAAGCTTAGACTAAAGTTTGATTTACATCCAATGAAAGCTGTTCGCAAACATAATTCTCCATGAGAACGTAAGTGCAGCATAACGTTTGTACGGTGCTCCTTCCGAAAACAGTTATAATGCCACGTAAGCTGTTGCTCTTTCGGCAATATATTTGCTAGCTTAGCAGTACAATATATTTATCGAAGTGTCTGTGTATGTAACTAAGGAAATTTTGTCACTTGAAAAAAACTCATCAAGATCATTGCATCTAAGGCCGGTATTGGATATAACAATTTCAAAAAAAGTTGTTGGATAAAATGGCGATTGGCAATGTCAAAAGGCCGATTTAGAACAACTTTTGCTTACAACCATCGCATGCAACCTGCGTAAGTCGTGGCTACAACTGTCGTAGGGATTTAAAACAATTGCTTAATAGCCCCACGACAGTTGTAGCCATGTTGTATAAGGATGACTTAAGCAGGTT